GTTAGCTGGGAGCACTGCTGGGAGCCTTGCAGAAAAAAGGCCCACGCATCACGGTGTCGTTGCTGCCCTTCGTACGTCCATGTCGCAACCTTCAAGGTCAGGTGTGTACGTGAAACTTGGTCCTTATGTCATGAGTGCATTGCAAACAAACAGGTCGAAGATTTAGGAACTTTGATATGGTCAGTCTCATGGTCAGAAAACCATATTCACACATATATTATATTCGTCCACATTCTTCCCGAAGCAGAAGCAGTTGTTCCGCGATTTCGGTCCGACTTTGAGTATTACAAGTAATTCAGGTCGGATTTCGGGAGTTCAACCTCCACAAAGCTTCAAGTTCCACTGACACGATGCCATCCAGGCGCTCTGAAGCACGATGCCATCGCCGACTCCCGGGCAAACACAGACCGGTTCGGAGTCCTTCGGCCAGACACCTGCGCATGCTGCTGAGGTCAACTGGCACCTGCGGCAACAGCGACCAGAACAAGGCGAAGGACGAGAACGGGGTGTGTCTGCCTCTCTCTCTCTCTCTTTCTTCGGAATTCCTGAGAGGTGCCAGTGTTGAATTGGAGCCAACCATCCATGTTATGTGCATATGGAGGTGAATAAATTGAAATTAGAAATACTTAGTCAGATATTTCCTTGACATTGTCAATTATACAATTGTAGGAACTGCATAAAAAGGGACCTGTTCAATGTTCCCAACCGCATTGAACCCACCACCATCCCAGACCCAATTCCATGTCTATGTGTTGGCCCGTTCTTCATGTCACTTCTTCATGTCTTTTCATCCCTTGTGAACACCAAACAAAACCCACATGCCCTCTCTTTCCATCCTTTTTCCAGCATCCCGTGGACCTTCTTTCGCTTTCACACCCAGCCCCACCTCCACTCTCTCTCCCCCGCGCGCTGCCTTCCCCCGCGCGCCTTCGCCCCGCGCAGCGTTCCGCGACGCGGTCGGGCGACCGTCGCCTTCTTGGACTCGGCGATCTTATAGCGGACCGCCTCCGTGAAGCAGGGGTCGTTGGGCCTCCAGCTTCGGTTGGGGCGAGCGTGGTTCGGGCGGATGGCGACCCTCCAAACCCGGGGGCGGCGAGGGCGGCGGTGGGTGGGGGCGTGTGTAAAAACGCGGGGCGCGGGCGGGTTTGGGAGGCGGTATTTTTGGGGCGTAGGGTTGAAGTCAGTGCACAGCATAAGGGAAAGGGGCCTCTCCAGATTGCATGTAAGAGGAATCTGCATAATAGAAAACCCAGATGCCAGGAACGCAAACACACCTCGAATCTAAACAAAACCACGAATACAGGCCACGGTGAAACAGCTTCCATCTATTGCTGAGTTTGATGAAGAAATTAAAACACACTTTCACTTTAAAGCGCTGAGGTTCCAGGACGAATGTGGGGTGCAATGTTTGGCTGAGGAAACAGGCTCTGGCTAGGTCTAGGCGTCCTGGCAAACCTTTCCATGTCGACAGGTTCGCAGGTGTAGCCATTCTCTGGCACAACCTGTTGTTCATGCATTATTATAGATGCATCATGATGCATCCTCTATATAATCAGAATGTTGAATGCACTGCAAGTACCCATACGTATACCAAGGACATGCAAGGACTTTGTCTTGAACTTCTCCGCGACCCTCAACCTTGACATTTCTGGAGATGCCCAGTCCATCGAACCCCCCAAAATCCTGCCTCTCGGGAAGCATCGAAGACATCAAACATTTCATCCAACAAGCCAACCATCTGCACTCTCCCAAATCATCCAAAGAAAGCTCCACTCAAAACCAACAGGAACATCACCCAGCGCCGCAAGAACCGAGCCACGCTCGCGATCGGCGCCACTGGCGACGGTGGCTTTGCAAAAAAAGGCACTTGTGGTTCACCCGATCGATGTTGAAAGGCCAGTTCTTCTCCATGCAGGCGCCTGGACGGACGGACTCAGTTGAGAACACCAACGCATGAATAGGGGGACAGCGCCCGGCATGTGGGGCAATGGAGGGAAACGATATCTGTCGTTTGGAATCAAGAGGGGAGGGAGAAGAAACTGCCGGCGCCGGGGAAAAACTGATGTATGAAATGGTATGAATGGATGCTGGGAACCCCAGCATGTCCAAACTATAATTAACTAATAGGCGCATCAATGAACACCTGGTGGTGGTGAATCAGAATCAAGGAGTCTGACATACCAGCAAAAACACCGACTTGACTATGTCAGAAAACATCTGACGCACACCAGAAATATCAATCGAATGGGTTTTGCTGGGGAGCCCATCGTCCAGCACAACCACGGGAACACCATGAACCTTTCTCATCCTTTTTTCTTTGTCTGGCCACTCAAGCCAGCGCAACCCCTTGCCAAAGAAACCGAAAATCAAATGTAAAAAAGGTAAAACCCACATGCATGTGCCTCACTGCTTGTGCCAGTCTCGACCTCCTAGGTCCTCCCTTTTCCTGTCCGATCCTTGATTCCCCCCAGTCTCTGCTCCAGCTGATCAGCTCCACCTTTCAGCTCCAGCGCGCTGATGGCACCTGCACCGCGCCATCAGCTGAGCAGGCCGCGCGCGCGGGTCGGTTGTAGGGCGAGGTTGGGGGGAACCGTGGTGTCACCATTTGGGTGTTTAGTGAACGTTCGGTGGTGCGGGCTGGCACTGGTATGGCGCAGGGACTCTCCTGCTGTGGAAGGAAAAGAAGGGAAAAGCCATGAGGATATGCCAGGGGCATCAAGGAGAAAGCACCCATTGAAGCTTGTTCAGGAGCAAGCTGTCACGCCAGCATGCAAATGTCGGCAGCAACGGTATGCTGCCTATTGCTGATTCTATCTCGGAGGCTTCTATTTCAAAAAAAATCGAGATCTTTGAGATTCTTTGAGACAAGCATTGAACAACTCCCCCGCAAAATAGCAGTGGCTCTGCTATAGCAGTGTTCCTCCCCGTCCATGGCGCCCTTGCGCCTCCCAAAGACATGCCCTCGTCCTTGGGTGCCACCCTCGGACCGTGCCCGGCGATGGAAGGGGCTGCAAGACTGGTGGGGCTGCAAGCGGTAGGGTCCGGAGCGGGTGTGTCTCATAAGAGACCCACCTGTTTCAAACCGCTGGTACCGCTGGTACGATGGACTCAAACTGGCATGGGAAGACAAGTGCAAGCAGAAGAGATGCAGCTGCTTTATATCATCAATCGCCTTCCCAAACGATACAACAGGACTGGAAACCACGATAATGGAATCATGATTTGAACTCCCTGGCGCTGCATTACCTGAGAGAACCATATACAAATCTACCGCCTGCCAGTCACCCAGATTGAACATGAGGGCCCTATCTGACTGGGACTGGGTAGTCTGGCCCAAACGCCACGCCCAAAACACGCCACGCCCTCTCTGTCTGGCCAACTCCCCACCCTCCACTGTCTCGTGCCAAGTCACGAGGTGTCCTGATGCTAGGCCGTTGGAGTTCACGGTGTTCACGCGGCCGTAACGGCCCAGCGCACGGTGAACGTAACAACAACAACAACAACAACAACAACAACAACCACATGAACGTAAGCGTTGGTTTATACAAGTCGCCCGCGGGGGAAAGTGGAGTGAAAAAAAAGGCAAATGGATCCCAATAGGATGAGCAGGATGCCCTGTCTTTTGCATCAAGGACAAAGCTGAGGTCTTGCACAATGAAATATATATATATATTATATAGTTCTATATACTTAGATCGTTATATCAGTTATATCTTAGATTGTTCAATGCACACCTGGACGGTTTCAAACATTTGGTTTACTGATACTGCCCCAGCTCACAAGAGGCTTTACCAAGCGGCACGCGTGTCTGATGTTCAAACTCATGAATTGAAAGAACTTGTGCGAAGCTGGCAACAACAAAAAGGTTCCAAAAGGGGGTTCTAACATGTTCCAACAAATCATACACACATAGTAGGCAGTGCACTACACCCTCAATCACCTCCCTGGGGTTGATCTCTGGGCTTGGTAGGTCCTGGTAGATCATCACACTTCCAGTTTGTGGCAAAGAATGCACAAATCAACCCACATTCCACCAGCACCACGCCCCAAAAGCCCGCTCCTCACGAAAGAGCTGCCTAAGTTGCTGCAGGATTCTTCGTTCAAGGGAGGGGAATGCAGCTTATATAGTTGTCTCATGTTCTCTCTGGATCTTTCGCTCGTGGACTAAGGGTTCGGTGGGCCTTTGGGCCATCTCTCTCTCTCTCTCTCTCTCAGGAAGACCCGCAGGCCACTCTGCATCTGTTCCTTTGCAAGAAAACAGGATTTCTCGACACAACTGTCCGGTGGAGGAATCCAACGACTTCCGGTCTCAACTTTTTCCATTGCCCTTGTTTTTACATGATCAAAGTGAATCAGAAAGGAGAGACAATCAAGTTGGATAGATTAAAGCAATATATGTAAGCCGCCTCAAATTCGTACAATGATCTAAGAATTGTACCGGCGCAATCCTGGATGGCATCATCTGGTCAATTTAGATGAGTTTATCAGAAAAATCAAGAACCCAGCACAATTTCGGAGAACATGAACAACAACTCCTATATTGCCTCTTCCAATAGTTCCTCACATATCTCGTGCGCCATCGACCATCCCGGCTGGACCAAGGTCCAGCCTTTCTGAAGGGGCTTATGGGTAGGAAGCATCGTCGATGGGTGGACGCCCGCTTCCTTACTTCCAGGCTTACCAGTGGACCCGCAATCATCCTTATATGAACGTAAATAGGGCAAATGCATCTGTAGCACTCTATAACATTCTGTAACTCTTCCATGCGTGGAACAGTTTGGGGATGATGAACGGTTAGTCAATTACAGTGGTTTCAGACTAGATGGCACTGGCACCCCAAGATGTCTTTGATATAGTCCATCATTGCACCACCTTTCCATTGGGGATTGTGCCATTGGTCCTCTCAACCCACCTTTCCAGGCCCTTTCCATGCCTTTCCATCTCTAAGGCCTTTCATGACTGACCCGACCCGCTAGCGGGCCTCCACCGTTTCCAAACGCCCGAAGTCCAAAGGGCTGGTCCCTCTTGCGACCGACGTAGTAAATGAAGAGTCGAGAGATGTCCTCCGTCCGATCGCCTGGTAAGTACGGGAGACAGAAAGAGCGGGAGGCAGAAAGAGTGGGGTGAGCTAGTCCGTTTTCGTGGGAGGGTGAGACGATGAGAAAAACCTCGACGACAACAGCAGAATCGACGACCCAACGGTGAGGCTGCAGCCTACTTGTAGGGCTGGAGGCAACTCTCATGGTCGGTCGCCCCGAGTTCCGGCCCCCTGTTGAAAGGGGAAGAATTGGGATATCTGGCTCCGGCTGACTCGCTGCCTCCCAAGCACCAGCTGCTGACTAGCTAGTTGATCAATCTCTAAACTTACAGATTCAAGAATCAATGCCATTGAAACCATGCCAAGAAAAGGATCTTCTTGATTGCCGCCCTGATCTTCGCTCGCCGCCTTTGGCCATGGCATAGCGCTTGTTGATGTACTCCTGGGATGGGTGGTCCGCCAAAAGGTCCAATAGGCCCTGTTGAGGAACTCAATTCGAAGCTGTCCATGCCGCTGTTTTAGGGAGCTTGGAGATGGAGATGGCTCCTTCTATCTCCAAATCAGGGGATCAGGGGATGAATGCAGGGGTCGGTGCTCCTGCCCTCAACCTATCAAAGGACTTGCCAACGTACCAAACATATCCAAAAAAATAATCTTGCATGGGAAGTTGACATTGACTTCATGATCTTCAGTTGTGTCTTTCCCTCAGGGCACATGAATGTTCTGTCAGAATATGTCAGAATCAGCTCCCTAACCTACAGTGTTACCTTTGTTGAGTATCAACACCTCCAAAATTACATTGCAAAAACCTAAGCTCCACCACACCTTTTCAACATCCATGATGCACCCTGGCTTCTCATTGAGCCATCTTTAAGCAACCCATATGAAATCATCGGAGTCCAAGGTTCGTAGGCACCCGCCACGGCATTGGCACAGCAGCTGTTGGTTTGGGACTGGTCTTCGACCTCGACAGTCGACCGGTTGGAACCCGCGGAAGGCCAACGGTAGCACACCCTGATGGCCAAATGGAAGGCCTGGGAACTAGTGCTTTTTCTAGAATCCACAGGTGTTCGACTGGTGTCCGACTATACCAAGCGGGCATCCATGTAGAGTTGGGTTGAGGTATCGAAAAACCTGAACATGGACTTGTGCCCGCCCTAGGTTCTTCTGGTCTTTGAATGCCGGCGTGTCAGGCTCAGCAATGATGTATATATTATAGAACCATATAGAATCTTGATTAAAGTACCCCCACAACTCAAGAGTTGTACAATCCAAATATATGTGTCTTAGTCAAAGTCTTAATCAAGAATGCCTTCCTCAACTCTCCCATTGCTCAATGAAGTCCCAACGAGTCTCACCTATTCCCATCCAACATCCAACAATAGACGAGCACATTCGCCAAACATCCCACGTCCAGGATGGAAAGATAACGTTTCCCCAGATAGCGAAGCTATGGGGTTCTTACTTCAAATAACAATGAGTTGCCCGTGCGCGCTTTCGAGACAGGTTGCTGGTGCTGGTGCTGTGAGCTTGCACGTGTGGAGAGAGGTTGCTGGTGCTGGTGCTGGGTGCCGGGTTCCGGTGCTGGTGCTGTGAGCTGGCTGTGCACGTGATGGAGACAGGTTGCTGGTGCCGGGTGCCGGTGCTGGTGCTGGGTGCCGGTGCTGTGAGCTGGCTGTGCGCGTGGTGAAGACACGTTGCTGGTGCTGGTGCCGGGTGCCGGCGCTGGTGCTGTGAGCTGGCTGTGCACGTGGTGGAGACAGGTTGCTGGTGCTGGTGCTGGTGCTGGGTGCCGCTGTGGAGGTGCCGTAAGCTGGCTGTGCATGTTCCAGCCAGTCGCATGTCAACAGGTCGTGGGATTCTGCCTAGCTATCTGGGTCTATGCCTAGCTATCTGGGTCTATGCTGGTGTAATTCATAGAGAGACCGCCTGGATGAGTCTAAAACAAAGACCGGTTGCTTCCGATGCGGAATCGTGTCATGCTCCTTTGAGGCCCAACATGGCGGACATATACACCAGCACACGCAAATATCTGCGCGCGTCGCAATTTGGCCCAAGCGAGCCTATACGCTATCTTTCAAGATTCTACATGGGAGGCACCCTGGGCCTCAACCCTCATGGTGGGCAAGTCCAGTGCTTCTCTTTTGAACCGTGCGGTCCGTTTCGGTATGTAGCGACACATGGCCATGACGATGAGTCCAACATGAGCCAAACCTGGCATTCACCATCTTTAAATACGAAGAACCTTGTGATGAACACCGCCAACAACTCTAAAAATAGACCAGGATTGGGTCTATCCTATTACCTGTAACAGTGGATGATGATGGTTAGTAAAGGCCTTGGTCAAAAATGATGATAATTGTTTACTGACTGTTCCAGGTAATAGGAGAGACCCTAACCATCTTCATCTTCCGAAACATCATCACCAAAATGATACCAACAAAAAAACCTAATAGATCCATTCGACCTGGTGGAAAAACCCACTCACATCGCAAAAACATCCCTGATCATCTCCTTGGCCCACGGCCCATGGCTTCCGTCTGTTCTTGTTTCTTTGCGAGGCACGTGGGTCATGTACTGTCGCAGGTCCACCTTGGCCGGAGGTCGCCCTGCGCTGGCCTTGGGGCGATAGGCCGCCACCTGCGGCGTCCGCCACGGGAAGCGGAGGATGTCGAGTCGACGTCCCCAACGTCCCCAATAACATCTACACCCATCACTTAAATATGGGATTAGTCATACTCAAGGTTCCAAAGCACCACAAATCAACATCTACACTGAATATATATCCTAAATCATCCTAATTAATACATCCTATACTCTGAATATCCCCATATATCCCCCGTAAGCCCTCCATTGTTGGAGGTTCACCTCCAGCAAAAAAGACTCCAACATTGCAGTCATTGTCAGTAATTCATGTCTGCACCTTCTCAGGCTCCACCGCGTGTGGCACCATGCCGAAAGGTGCGAAGGTCTTCCCATCCAGGACCACCTTCCTCGGCCGTGCGTTCGCCGCCCCTCCGCCGCCCTTCCGGAGGCCGCGACTCACGCATGCGCCGGTCTGAACATCACTAAGAAATACAAAGAACATCGTTATAAAATGTTGACTCTTAATCTTACTCACCCTATGGTCTGGTAAAAATGAGTTCATTGCATAAACTTGCGAACATCACTCAGAGGTGGGTGCAAGACAAGTACTGATGACTTGGGGAGTGTTGCTCAGGAGTCTCCAAAGCTTCACTCTGGTTTGATGGCATTTTTAGCATCATCTACTCCAAACAATGGTCCATTCATCAAATGCCGGGTGCATCATGTCCACATCGATTTTCAGATGACCACTGTGGGGCTCTAGCTGACGCATAAGCGGGCCAGCGTTCCACTGAGCCGATGTGTTTCTCTTGCGCCCAGGCCAGTGAGCATCACCCCTGCCCACATGGCGTTCGAACTGGGGCGAACTGGCCATATCGTCAAAACGCTCCTCGAGCGGACCGTTTTGAAGTCCTTAGGTCAGGACCTACTGGTAAGTTACATTAGGTAAGATCCCTTTAAGGAGCCAAATATCTTAAAACCCAACACCCTGTTGTTTTTGTTTGGGATCCCCGACTGACCTTCGATGTTCTCAGGTCATGTGACTGACCAAAAGGGCCTAGGGGTCCCTGCTTGGCGCCTTGGCGAGCTGCATCGATAAGGAAGGGCAACACCTGATGTCGAAGGATGGGCATCACCAGCACCACCCGTGGTCGGGTGGTTGTCGGGTGTCCCGCTTCAGTGAGTCGGCCCCGAGCTGATGCATTTTCCAACCAATCACCATCCTGTGGGTGGTGCAGATACATGTGCTCTGATACATGCCTTTCTCTTCTGGCAAAACGCTCGGAAAACGCCGTTCTGTTGACCAAATCAAGCAAAGATGTCAGTGTGATCGACACACAAAGTTCAACCCTCACCCCCTAAAGAGTCTGTAGGTCCAGTTGCCAATCCACTTTCTCACTAAAAACATCCTCCAAACTTTGTAGGTCAGGTGCACAGTTCTCCTCCTTCAGCTGGACTGGCTTCTGGCTTCGCATTTTGCCACCAGCCAGGACCATTGGGACAAAGAACTCTAGGCGGCTATGGCTCTGAGAATCCCAAAGAAATCTGTGTCCAAACAGATCTGGTCCATCCCGACTCACCTTGCCTCCACTGTTGGCACCACCGGTCACCACCGCCGAGGCACAGTGCCGGTCCAGGACTCCGGTCCAATGGCAGTCGACGCGCTGCCACCCATGGCGCCTGGATCTCGGTCGAAGGGTGCGACGAGTAGTATGGGCCTTTTAACATGGGAGCGGTGTCACCTAAGCGTGTGGCACCAAACCCACAAGTCCCATGACAGCACTTCATGTCCTCAAAACCTCGAAGCAGCGTTCGCTCGCAACGCGAACTGTACGTTTAGTTTACGTGTCCATGTGCACCAAATGATGGTGAACATCCAGGGGCGAACCACTTATCTGGGCTGATAGATCTTTTATCCTTTTTGAAAGAAACCATGCATGCGACTCCAACAATTGTGCAGAACCTCCTCATGATGCGAAAATTGATCCACGCCCCACGGCCAGCAGATTCGGCTGGCGAAAGAAACTTGCCAATCGGATCCATGATTGAATACATACAGCAGAAACCTTGACGGGCTGTGGTGGTTATTGGAACACGGTGAATCACTTGGGTTCTACATGCCCCTCGCCCAGTATTATAAGTCAAAACATGTTCAAAGCGGAGCCTCCAAACTTGTAATGAAGCTCTTAGACTGTAACTGACACTGGGTGCGGGGATCACATAGTATCGGATAACCATCATGGATTCCTCAAACCGACACGCTGCGACCTTGCAAAGCTTTCACGGAGCGCACCTAGTGTATGGAGATGTCGAGTGAGAAATCTACGACCAACGCTTTCACGCCGCGCGTGGTCAAGCTAGGATTACGGACTATAGCAGCTCGAGCCAAACAAGAATGGGCAGGTGGGCAGGCGGGAATCAAGTCCTTAAGGAGGCAGGGAAGAGAGACTTACCCTCTCTCCAAGAAACATGGAGGTGGAGGGTTACCCTTTCTCCACCCTATGTTTGGAGGGTTTTCTATACTCATACTCTCTCTCTCTCTCTGACTTGTAGGTCGGACTTCTATGTTTACACATAGGTCGATGTTAAACGCCCGTTCCGAGTCAAACGTCACTGCTTCCAGGTGGTGGTGGGCTTCTTCACGCGCTGCTCTTAGTTGACCAGTAGGGCCTGGTAGGGGCGTCTCCACTTGTTCCGGAAACTGCCAAAAGTTGCAGGAACCCCAGACCCCCATGGAGAAACCACTAGGGCTCGGGCATCACTAATTCTGGGGGCATTCTAAGGGAAAACGAGTCGGAGAAAACCTGTAGTCCACTGGAAATCTGACGTTCTCCGATCTGCTTATTACATCTTATTACATGCGTTTTGCACCAGCACCGGAGTTGGGTGCAGACCACGGACCCCGGGGCGATTCAGAGACAAACCCCCCGCAGGGCCGCAGACCGCCCGCATCGGGCAGTTGGACTGCCTTGGCTTTAGGTTGATTCTCACGCAACCAAGGCCAATCAACTGATTGAGGTTCACACTTTATTGAGCCAAACTTCAGACTAAACTTCATTCCAACGGACTTGCCAAACCTCACCCTGCGCCAAAGCATGCGGCAGGCGATGGCGACTGTTGAGCTTGCGGGGGACGCACCTCCTTTCTGATGACTGCCTAGGCTGGCACACGAGTCACGCATTTGAGCTATACATCCAAAATACCTTCACTGGATGGTTGCAACTCCCACTGAACCATCCAATTACGGGTTTGTGGTCGTAGAGCATTTGGCTTCTTGACCTCCCATATCAAGAATCTGCGGAATGTGTTCAACAAGATTGCTATAACCGCCAACTAAACACAATGAACATCCGTGTCTGACAGACCACCCAAATATACCAAGGTTGATTTTTTGCTGACATCTATGTGGAACCGAAGTTCAAATCCCCACCGGAAGCCAATCTCTTGGTCTGGCAGCCGGTCTCTATCAATGCTTGTCACAATGCGAGATATATCAGTGAACCCAATTTCAATTTGCTCTCCGAAAAAGCATGTGGGATGGAAAACAGCAGTCGAGTTGGAGATCAAGTCCTCTTCGGACTCAACTCGGTCTATCAAACGGGATCGAACGGAAAGTCGTGCTTGTCTCAAAAATCGTTCCCTTGAGAGCAAGTTTTGGGATATTTAAGGTAAAGCGTCAGCAAACATGGAAACATTGAGGGGCGGTGGCTCATTTTCGTTAGAAATCTGCAGCATGTCATGGTATCTCATGGTCAGGAATCCGCCATCTCAAAGGCTGGGGCCAGGGAGGCTGCTCAGCCAAAGAGCTCCTGGAAGTAAACGTCATGACGAGCATAAATGAACATAATGAGTGTTTTCTTCGGCCTTTGTTTCTTGAACATTAACCGCACTAAACACGCTCCACTCAGATATCCACACACACCCTGGCTGCTTGTTCACCACCTCGCTCCCGGCTTTGACTTGTTTTACATTCCCAGGGGTCACTGGGGCGGCAGTCCTATGGCAGTCCCATGGAACGTCTGGGAGTTTCAGAGCTTCGATGGCAGAGACCGAAACCGATGTCCTTTACATGGAGGTTCCTATAAACCACCTTTCCATTGGGGTCTGTGCCATTGGTCCTCCCAATCCACTAAACATGGTTTTAACTGCGGTCCAGTGGCGGACGACACGGACATCTCGTCCGCATCCTTCAACTGCGAGCCCGGCCCAAAGCGGCCCTGCGGGCGACAGGACTCGGCAGGTCCAACCGAGTCGGCAGGTCCCCCGTCCCATTGTTCCGCGTGGAGGTGATGGCCTTGAACTTCTCGATGAGGGCATCTTTGAGGTCTTCTCTGCGCTTCAAGTCCATCAGCTTTGCCTCGCTTTCGCGAATTGTGGCACGCAGCATGCAAAGCAAAGCCTAAAGGCAGCTGCAGATTGCATCTTTGCATGCATCTTCCAAATCATAAGTGTATTCATACCAAGCACAGTTGTGCAGGCTGATCACCAGCTGCAAAGTTGAAATCAATTTAACAGGAAGGTCGACCGATCCCAGGTCATGTCTTGTACATGAGACCTCACCACTGGGAGGACTAAAAAGAACTTATCCGAAAGCATTCAGCAGCCCAACGCCCAAATGCTTCGAACAACGATGCCCAAATGGTTTGAAGACACTCGTGCAGACGCGATCCATGCCGACCGCCGACCGCCGACCGTCCGGGCGGAGCCAGACTCGGCGACTTGAACAGGTGTGATCCGACATAATTTTTGAAGACGCGTTACCGTAATATGATATGAATATCTAATAGAAAATATAGATTTATTATAAGTATACATTAATAGACAGTTAGAATGCCTGATCATGCCTGATCATCATTTTTGTTCTATATGATCGATGAGGCATGCCTGAAAGAGTATGCGCGGGTGCGAACTGGCTGCAATCGAAGCTTGTCAGAATGAGGTGATGTCAGCAATGAAGTGACAGTAGATCTAGGCCAATGTGCGCAGCAATTCAATCCCCATGATCTGCCTAATTTGCAGCGAACCCATCGTAGGGGTGTTTTGGGGATCAATGCACGCGCAAATGGAGGTATGCCGTGCCCCTTGGCAACTCCAAGAGAACCATTACAACAACATATATTCAACCCATGAAATCAAGGTTTTTAGGCCCCAGTAGTGCTGGTAGTGCTGTTTGCGGCGGATACTCGAACCAGTCGTATACTGGAACCAGATCGAACATGATCAAATGAGGCGTCAGAGACGTCCAACACTTCTGGACGATCAGAGCTTCCATTCGCATGAGTTGCCTGGAGAAAGCCGGCTTGTAAGCTGACGTCGTCGCCAGCTGTAAGTGTCTGAAACGGAAAAACATCACCAGCACCAACCCAATCAATTCACAAAAAAAAACGATTCATCTTCTTTTGATTCTAAGCCACGATCGAGTTCTGAACGAGGAACAAGAACGAAAGACACACCAACATGTTTTCGTCTCCAGCATCCATCGGATCTGCCCGGAACGTCCTCGCCGTCCTAAGCACTTCTCGGACTCCGGGCCCGGCGCGTGTCGGACATCCGAGAGCCATTGGACCTGAGGGACCCCGATCGCTCGGACGACGGAGGAAGGTGGAGGTTAGAGCTTCGATCCGATTGGCTTTGGAGCGAAAGATCTTCACCATCGGCAAAACCAGGTATCCCAAACACTCCATGAATGGTGGTGAAATCCCGATCAGTTGGGGTGAACTTTCTGGGGTCAACGTCAATGTAGGCTAGGCATCTAATTCGGCATATACAGTACTATATAATTAATATACATGGAGCGTGTGGGTAGAAAATCGAACCCCCCCCGTTTCCCTGGACAATAAAAGAAAAGCTAATCTCGCTCCACCTGCTCATGTCCAGTGGGAGACCAACCTCTCAAAAAGGCTTAAGGGTATCCACTCTTCCAGGGTAGGATATAGTTGCGACGACTGTCAGGCCATAAACACATCGCGATACAAACTGTTACCAGCCGATATGGATAAACACTCGCTGTAGGCTCCAATATGGATACCTCGGCTCCTGAGCTCCCTCCTAACCAGCTAACAGCAGCTGGGCAGCTAGGCCAACTATTCTAGCTGAATTATGGGACATTCCAGTGGTGCTTGGGGCTTTACAGTGTAGGGAACTTGCTGCAGGTTCCCTGCTTAGGAACTGCGGTCTAGGTGATTCTATGCAGCTCATCTGCGGCATAGTGATACATAGTGAATTTGCAGTTCGAATGCAGCACCGTCCACAGAAACGGTGAGTGAGGCTGGTGCTGCAGACATTCCGCCCCAAGTCAAGAGACCCTTCAATGAACATATGGCGTTTCCAAAGGGACGTTCTACAGTCTTGCTAAAGCTCCCCAAGTCAACTACACTGTGCTACGGTGCTACACCCCACCCCCCTGTTCCCCTGCAATCTTGTTGAACAGGTCCAGTGACATCGCGGTCCCACAACGCTCCTCATTCATCGCCATCGCAGTCTTTATGCCTCGCAGACACCCGAGACTGGACTCACCTGGGTGCATCTAAAGGGACCCCTTTTGCTGCAAGGGACCCCAACCACACTCCGACGAACACATCACATGGTTCCGTGGATGGCACACCCCAAGTTCCCGTCAAGGGTCAGACGTGGAAGACTCCGAACTCGGGAACCAGCAACATCCGCGTAACCATGTGATGTGTTCGGAGTGTAACCAACCACATCGAACCAAAACACCTCCTTGGTCCTTTCGACCAATCCAAGCTGCAGACGAAACATCGATCTTGACCTCGACGAAACACGAGGCTTCGGCCTCTCGGCACGTGCCTTCAACATTCAAACAGCGTAGTACTCTTACACTAGGTCCAGCCATCAATTGCAGTGTATTGGCATGTACTTTTGGCGCTAAGAACATGGCACAGTACTACCAAAAGCTGAGAAAGACGGGACAACACTTTGAAAGTCAATCGTTCGCGCAGCACTCCCGTTCGTCGTCTCACCTTTCAGACCTGTTTGCCGTAAGCTCGGTGCCCGGAGCTTTCTCGTGCGAACATGACCCATCCAACGACCCAAAGCAAACCAAAAACCGTAAACAACAAACACTCACAAAGCGCCTCAGGCTTGGATCTGCCGGGCTGAAAACGCAGCAAAACGCGTTGCGTCCCCGGGCTTGGAGCCCAATGCGGCGGCGTCCCGGGAGAGTTTCTCCGTCGGCTTTGATGGCAAAAGGCATCCTGGAGCTATAGTGCCTATACCAGCTCCACTGTGGTCAACTTGAGGCTTCTTTGTGTGAGTTTCTACGGCTCTTGGAGCAAAAAGAACACAATGAAGAAGTCCAAATACAACTTCACTGACGGAACACGTATCAAATTTCCCCAAACATGTCCGAGAAGAGTCCCTACTTGGCCGG